TCAACCACATGGGAGTGGAGTGGAATCTCCCAGCTTCTGCTAAGACATCAGCCCTCCCTGGCCAACATCTGCCCTGTAGTCTTTAAGAGACCCTGAAGGACTCAGCTACCCTGACACACAGAAACCGTGAAAGGATGTGTATGATTTTCAAAGCTGTTTGGGTTTATCTGTGACACATCAATCAACAACAAATATAGCAGGCACCCCATGACTGGGCTGTTGTTGGCTGACACCACGTCGGTAGGACACACGGTAACCTCGTGTATAACAGAACCAAACACTGCTCTGTCCTGCATCATCCTCACAATTACTGGCCTTGTGCCAATCCTGGTGGGGTGCTGTAGGATCAGCCCTGGACTGCTAGTCACAAGGTTGACAGTTCAAACCCACCAGCTACTCTTTGGAAACCCTATAGACTCCATAAACTGTATAGCTGTTTTTTTAAAAAAGGAAAACTCCTGGTGACCACTGGAGATATCATGTCACCAACGAAGAGTCTTCATACAAGATGGCAGTCGTGGCTCAGTCATGTGAACCTGCACAGTCCCCACTGCCCGCCAGGATCAAAGTCCCCCTTCACAGTGCTCATGTCCCCCAGGGGTAAGAACAGAACTTCAGGAATAGGAAGACACATTTGAAGAACCTGGATCTGTTCCTCAGCAAGAGAGCACGTCTCTCCTTCTTCTCTTCTCAACTGGGTTCTTCTGCTTGGCCCACAATCCTTTGCTTTCTTGACAAACCAGCTCATCCTATGATACCCAGCTGGCACTGTCTTCTCCAGGACAACATTCCTGGACCTTCCGCCAGGAGCCCCACAACACATTCCCTCTTCAGCAACCCCTCTCTCCCCTTGCTGAATCTGTGGTAACAAAACCAAATCATGGCCATTTCCCCCAGCACAGGCTGAAATGTGAGTGCCCACCTCACGCAGTCCAGAGACAAACCAGTTGTAGTTGACCCAGAGAGCTACAAATGGCGTCGATGGCCCTTTTTGCTGGCTTTCTGAAGTGGAAGCCAGCCTGACCTTCCTCCTTTCTCAGGAGGAAGACCCCGGGAGGTGTGACAGAAAGATGTTCCTGAGAGAATGTTCCAGCCTTGTGAACTTCAGCTAAGTGCAGTTTGGTTGGCGTGGGGCGGGTGGTGGTGGTGGTGGCAAAACAGCTATGAAAAAACACCTCAGTGGACAGTGAGGGGACAGCAGTCACTGGCCTTACCTTCCAGGAGGACAGTTAAGTAACCCTGGTTTGTGTCAGCGGTCCTCTATCTGAGAGAGACCAGCTGCTCTGTGAGGAGGCGGCCAAACACCAGGTAGCCTTCTGGTGCTGTCTGGGAACACCGGAAGGAAGGAAGACATAGAGAACAGAGTGAAACCATACACGTGACGGAGTTACTCAGTGGGGTCTAGTCTGAGAATTCCAAAATGGGGTGCACAGTGACATAAATCCAGCCACGAGGGGACAGCACTACTTTAAAACAGGTCATTTGGGATCAACAGTGTTCAATGAAAGAAGCCAGGCCTAAGATCTGACACACATTTTCTCTCACTCTTACACCTCTATTTAACAAATTCATCTGCACAGAAAACTCATCTGGAAGAAAAGACATCAAAATATAAATAATAGTTAAATCAGAGTGACAGATTACAGGTTTTTTTTTTTTTTTTTAAATACAAGGTGGGGGGTGGGTCTCAGAAAGTTTATGGAAAAGCGAAATGAAAAAATAATGGAATTCATCCACAAACTTTTCTTTTGCAGTTTTCCTCTGTATGAACTAAAATTTCCACAACAATCACGTTTTATTTTTATAAGTGGAAGACATCTGAGGAAGGAACGAGGGCAGCGAGGAATTAAACCCAAAGGAAAAAGATACAAAAGGTCTGGCCCTGTCTTGTGTATCAGAAAGGCTCACAAAGGTTTAGACTCAGTCTGTGGGGCAGAAACAGAACTAGTGTGGACAACACTCCCAAAAGCCAGACCTGAACTAGAAGGAAGGAAGAATTTTCCCACAGAGCTGGGCCTAGAACAGACTGGAGCCCATACCTTATGTGATGAGAGCTGGGGGTCTAGGGGCCAATTAAAATGATTTTCCCAAGATTCTGTTGTCCTGCAGGCAGGCATCATTAATAACTCCAGCATCACTCCAAAATACCCAGGTTACTTCATTCAATACCGTACTCTCTTGGCCTCATCCACACGAGGGGACGTCCAAAGATTCATGGGAAAATCCCATTATCTTTCCATTTCATTCTTCTATGAACTTTCTGAAGCTGCCTCATATTGGGCAAGCCCTGATCTTTAAGACAAAGCATCTCTTTCTTTTTTCTCCCATGGTGGGTTCTCCATAACAGCTTGAGAATCACAAGCGTGGCTGACAGGATTCCAAGTGCTAATGAAGTGGGTATTCTAGGAGTTAAACCAGTGGGACAATCCCCATCACCACCACCACCACCACCCACAAACCCAGAGTGTCTCCTAAGTCCTGACAGTACCCAAAGACCCCTCTCATAACCCAGGTCAGACCCTCAAGAAGGTGCGAAAGGCATGACGGTCAGAATGTCTAAGGAAACGCCCACAATTTGTTTAAACACAGCTAGGGTTGCCCCAAGAATAATATTAACATAAGAAATAGCGGTAACATTGCACGTTAAATTCATTTATTTAAAAAAGAGGCAAAATCTTGTGATGAGAATAAGAGATTACTCTTCAAATTGTCTTTTCCCGAGATAAGAATAAACTTTGAAAACACTCTGATGGGTAACTAAGAGAAACTTTTCAATTTTCCTGGAATCTACATTTCTGGCTTTCGTAGAAGTTGGGGTAACCCACACAGGCCATTGCCCTTAAGGGTCCTTTGGAAAATTGATCCTGGAAAAATCTGGTTCCCCAAACCCACCTTTGAGTCAAAACAATGGTCCAAGACCATTGCTCACTGAAAGAATTCAGTCAGTTCCAGAAAAACAGACTCCAAGCATCTAGAAAGAGGTCTGTTCAGGGTAAATTGGGAATGATTTTCATTGTTGTTCAAGGCAATGCTAGATGAGAGTCTTCCTTAACCACGTTGTTGATGTTCAGTGCAATCTAGTCAGTTCTGACTCATAGCAATAGTATTTCCGATGCTGTAAATCTTTACGGGAATAGAAAGCCTCATCTTTCTCCCACAGAGATGCTGGTGGGCTCCAACTGCTAGTGTTGTGGTTAGAAGTCCAGTGCTTATCCTACAAAGCCACAGAGCTCCAGGTCCGGACTAGCTCCTCACTGAATCCTTGCAACAACCAAGTGAGGGAGTATTTTTATCCCCAGTTTACAGATGAGAAAACTAACATCTTCTCCAACCTAATACCTGGTGTGTGATGACGTTCCACATAGGATTGGTGAGTTGAAATCAGGTAGCTGTTGAATTGGTACATGGAGCCAAGAGACCCACGCCCCTGCCTGCCTCACATCCAAGGCGGGAAGAACATGATGCTTTGCTTACTTGAAGCTTAGTGCCCTGGAGTCCCAATTCTATGGGTATATTTCCAGCCTCTCCCCATTTGTGTGTGGGTGAGATGCAAGGATTCATCCTGACCACAGATTTGTTTATCAGTTCTATTCGGAGGCTTTTTTCCATGGCAATACCAAGAAGATCTGGGAAGTGTTTCAGAATTCTCTCATCCATGGACACTCCAATAGAGAGCTTACCTCAATTTGCAAACTGTGTATTCAATAAACTTCAATCGACTTTTATTACAGGCTTAATATGATTTTTGTTTAGACAGTATGAGCCCACTTAGAAGAAATATCGAGAACAGGCAAATGCCTAGAGTTTAATAGTGGCTATCAGTGGCAGGGAAGAGTGGGCATTCTTGTTAAAGGGGTACTCACTGAGGACCTGTCTGGGGGAATGAAACACATGTGTAAATGGCTGCACAGCATGGTGAATGTAACTGTAACACCCCTGTATTGCACGCTTAAAGGTGGTTAACATGTGCGTCAAGACAAAAGAAAAAAGAGGGCTTGGAGACTGTGGTTGAGATTTGGAAAACTGTTTTCTGTAGATCTCACACGGAAATTCCTACTGTAGATTTGCACACTGGAGTCCTGGTGTGGTGCTGTAGGATAAAGAACTGGACCGCAAGGTCAGTTTGAATTCTAAGGTCGATGGTTCAAACTCCGGCCTTGTATGAAAAGCCAATCAAATAGATAGGAAGTCTCCTTGGGCCTGGGGCCTGCTTCCAATCTATTGGACACTCAGGCAAAGCCTGCTGCTTTCTGCTGGGTCTGGACCCTGCATCTGGCTCATCACCTGACCTCTGGGTCTTTGGATGCAGCCAGAGGCCTGCTCCACTGCCTGCCAATCCTGGAAGTTGTCAGCATCCTGCCACGTTACCCACCTGATCTGTCAATCCTGCTTGGTTCATCAGCCCTGCAGCCTGACATCTGATCCTCAAACTTGGACTTATTCACCTAGACAACTGTGTGAGCTATTTCTTCGATATAAGCATCCCTTTATGTTTACATTGATGAGCTTCTCTAGGGAGCCCAGCCTAAGACACAGATTTTACCACAATGATTTATTTTTTCTATTTTAATCTCCTTTTCCTTGGAGAATATCCAAGCTGGATCTAGAAGGAGTCACACATGTCAAGGCACAAACCTTCACACTCTGCCAAGCTCACCAGCATCTTACAATACACAGCAAGATGTACATTTCACCACTTCAGGAACAACGGGATACGTGTTACTGGGGAAACTCACAGCGGGAAGGGACTCTTGTTTTTATGCTTCCTGGTGTGGCGCTGTGGGTTAATGCGCTGGACTGCAAAGCTGGTTTGAACCACAAGGTTCGAGTTTGCCAGCTGCTCCTCAGAAATCCTATTTGGGTCGCTATGAGTGGAACTGATTCAACAGCAATAAATACGTTAGTTCAGAAGGAAATATGTGAGGCAATTTGTTGGGGGATTAAAAAAAAAGAGTCGAAGACACATCACTGTCTTGTCTTCTCCACCCAAGGACACTCACCTCTCCACCGGGTCCCTGAGCATGACAATCAGCTTGGCGTGGGGCTGGAAGGCGTGGATGAAGTCCTGGACCAGAAAAGGCGGCTCTCCGTCAGTGCTGTTTTCATAGAAGAAGGTCCAGGCGTTGTTATCCCACATGGTGGACGCGCTGGCCTCCCCTAGAGATGGAAACACCACCCATGAGTAATGGCTTGGGTGCTAGCTCCACCAAGGGCCTGGGAGTAAAGTGTCCCAGGAGTTACAGAGGCTAGCTCCCAGGATGCCTTCTCTTAAAGAGCAGTGGCCCCGAATGTGTCATCCAACACTGGCAGATGGGACTCCAGAATAGGGGGCTGAAGACCACCTGCTGCCACAGAGACACACCCCAAACACCTCTGTCTCGAAGTCAAAGTGATCTTTGCCATATGTGACCTTCACCCCCCACTCCAATGCCCTGGGTGTCCACAAAAGCTTTCCAGCACTGGGCTGCCGGTTTCATAATGGTTCACGGTGCGCAGCTATGAAGCATTTTAAGGGCCCATCAAGAATGCGTTAGATGGTTTTCTTCAGAATTAGGGGCAAAGGTTAAGTCAACCATCCTCAGGAGGACTTGGGACATATCCTGCTTGGGTCTTTTTTTGAAACCCTAACAGTCCCTGAGTTACAGAACCACTCTGAAGCAAGGTAAGACAGAAGGGCTTACACACACCCACCCCCCACCCCACACACCACACACCACCAACTGGTCTACCCCCGACGTATCACTCTACATGGGCTCCTGCCCCATCACCCTGCACACAGCTGGCACTCAATCAGTGCTGGCTGGTAGACCAGGAACTTGGTTCTGGCCCGTTTACCAGGATGTGTGTGACCGATGGATTTCCATTGCAGAAGATCACCCATTAAAACTGTATTTTTACTTCCCAGTGAGATGTTTGGAGTCCTGGTATAGCGCTGTGGGATAATGCGCTGGGCTGCAAGGTTGGTTTGAAGCACAAGGCTGGCAGTTCAAGCTCACCAGCACTCCTCTGAAACCCTATACAGGGTCACTCTGAGTCAGAACCAACTTGATGGCACTGAACGACAACGTGACTGGTGGATGGAAACTTTAAACAACATCGGGGACAGGGGAGAGGCCAAGACACAGATAATTTCACAACACACAACTTTCTCAGACAACTACACCAATTCCTTTTTTTTTTTTTAATCTCCAGAGATTTAGAAAGAAAGACAAATCCATCCATCAACTACACACTGTTTACCTGGCATTCTACACAATGCAACACCTCAAAGTCCCTTATTCAGGGAAAATTGAGCCAAAAGACTGAGAGTCTTTGGTCAGTGATCAGGGCATGAGAACAATGCAGGGAGTTAGCAGGTCTTATTTACTCTGTTGGATGCAATCACACCCAGGTGAGCATTTCTGCTCTGGTCTTTGTAACAAAAGAGACACCCTAGGATACAGAAAAGACAATTTAATCAGAAGTCTTTTGAAAGTTCTACTCACAAAGAGTAAGGGAATATCAAAGACAAGTATCTATAAGAAAATTGGCATACGTTCTGTCAAATCTGGAAAAATAACTGATTCTACAACCAGAGAAGGATTTTCTAGTGCTCTATCCCTTATCTCTCCACCTTTCCCATCCACCCACTCATCATCCATTTCTTCCAACTATCCATCCTTCCATCTATCTATCCACCCATCCATCTACCCACACATCCATCCATCCACCCACCAATCCACCCACTCACCAATCCACCCACCCACCTATCCACCCATCCATCTACCCACACATCCATCCATCCACCCACCAATCCACCCACCCACCAATCCACCCACCCACCTATCCATCCATCCATCCACCCATCCATCTACCACACATCCATCCATCCACTCACCAATCCACCCACCCACCTGTCCATCCATCCATCCACCCATCCATCTACCCACACATCCATCCATCCACCCACCAATCGACCCACCCACCTATCCATCTATCCATCCACCCACCCATCCAACCATCCATCCATCCATCCACCCACCCACCCATTCATCCACCAATCCACCCACCAACCCATCCATCTATTCACCCATCCACCTACCCACCCATCCATCTATCTATCCACCCAGTTCCTATTTGGCATCTATTACGTGTCAAGCATTATGCTTGGCACTGGAGATATCTGAGTGAAACAAGATAGATGTGGACCTTCCCTCCTTGAACCTCACAGTCAAGGTGAAGACAGAAGATGCAATGAGTAATCTCAGCACTGCTTGAGAGCACTGTCACAGGGCAGGGTGCCATGAGGGCAGAATCAGGGGTCTCTCAGCACGTCTGAAGCCCCAGCCCCATGGAGCCCAAGGTGATTAAGAACATCACACCTCTCCAGAGCATCTAACCCAGAGGAAGAGGATCAGAGTGAATTGCTGATGCATGCGTACAGAACAGATCTGGTCCAGCAATCCCATTCTCCAGAGCTCAAGAACACCAAGACTGGTTTGTTACATAGCGCACACCTGCCTGGTGGCACAGGCAGGGACAGATCCCAGGTCCCCATAGGTCTCTCCACACTACCTATCCCATCATGAAGCCACCATTAAAGCTCACCAGAATCTCTGTTCCCTACTCCCCACTGCCATCAAGTCAATTCCAAGTCATAGGAACCCTAGAAGACGAAGTAGAAACACTCCATAGGGTTTCCAAGGCTGCAAATATATGAAGGCAGACTCCACATCTTTCTCCCGAGGAGTGGCTGGTGGACTCGACCTGCTGTCTGCTCAGTTAATACCCAGTGCTTGACCCACTGCACCACCATGACCCATTAAAACCTATTACCTAGATATAAACAAAGTCATTTAGTCTTTATCCTTCTACTTTTCAATCTGCTGCTGGTGGCGGTGACTTGGAGTTGATTTCAACTCAGAGCAACCCCATGTAACAGGGCAGAAATGCCCCATCGGGTTTTTTCTAGGCAGCACCCTTTACAAAAGAAGCCTTGGTGACATGATGGTTAAAGCGCTCAACTGTGAACCAAAACATTGGAGGTTTGAACCCACCCGTCGCCCCTCAGGAGAAAGATGTGACAATCGGCTTCTTATGATGGCAACTTTGGAAACCCTTGGGGCAGTGCTAGGGCGTCCAATAGGACCACTGTGAGTCAGCCCTGACTCAACGGCAGGGGCTGGGAGATGGCACCTTTACCAAACAGGTCATTCTCCAGCAGAGCTAGAGTGGGGTCCAACCACCAGGCTTTCAGTTAGCTGCTGAAATTTATTTATTCATTAAACTGAGGAACTGAACTAAAGCTTGCCCCGTTTCATTCCTTATCAGGTCTCCATTTCCTGGTCCTTCCATGGGTATTTTTAGCTTTCTTACAGAACGTTCAATTTTCTGAGCGGCACATGGATGGGAGTCACAGTAAATACTAGACTTAGGGGTGGGGGCTTGGATCCCCAAAGCTGCAAGAGGGTAACAAGTAGCCAGGTCACACCAGGGGTGAAAGCATGACCTCATCTGGCTCCTAGTGACCTAATCAATCAATCTAGACTTAATCAGGTGTGTAAGTCTGTCCCCTTGGATATAAGCATTAAGAGTAGAAAGCCATCCTTCCAGTGACTGACTACAACCGATCTCAGTCAGTAATTGGCTCATTTAATTGTGTGCTCAAATTCCAAGGCCACTAGAAGAACTAGATGGTGTCTGGGTGCCACTCTGCACTGTCCGGAAAAGGAGCACATTAGAAGGTCCTGGACAGAATAGTAGAAAAATGTAGGCCAGAACTCAAAATCAAGAAAAGGACCAGACTTACTGGTTAGATGGAAACTGGTGGAACCGGAAAGACCATGGCCCCTAGTCAGCCTTCAGGTCTGGGACTGAACTCACTGAACTCACTGAACGCACACCTGTGGCTCAATTTTCAGCCAAACAATAGATCTCTAAGAGGAACAGTAACAGTAGGAAGGTACACAGGTCCACATTCCTTAGAATAATCAGTCACTTGAGATCAAATGAGCGGCATTTACCCAAGGGCAGAGTTCAGAAGGGTTAGGAAAGGAGGAGGGATGGAAACAGGAAACAGGGAGGAAGTGGGCTACGTGATGTTACATTGTGGGGTCTGCAATCAATGATATGAAATGAGATGTGCATGGATCACTGAATGGAAAAATAATCGTTTGTCAACCAATTCACAATATAGTAAATGAATCAATATAAATAAAAACTCTACACATCTAAAACATGAAAAAGGGCAACTAATTTAAGCAAAATACAATTTCATTTCTCTTTCAGCAGGAAATAACTGAATAAACATCTTCTCTTAAGTTGAGTCCAGTGAAAGAGTGACTATATATGTCTTTACCTAATACTGGTGTACTTAAAAAACAAAATAATTAATTGCACACCAAACAACTTCATTTTGAATGTCGAAGACTTTAGGTGGATAAGGGCTAGGCTTTTTAAATGGCAATTTGTCATAGATGATGTCTTTGGGCTGGGCCTTTCCAAAAGTATCCTCTGATCCCAACTGCTAGGGTTTACAAAAGCCACAAGTAGCCAACAGATGACTAATCAGTGAATTGGCATTTCTGATCCCCCATCCAAGCTTACTCACATCATCAGATCGTGAAAAGTCAAGAATGAGTACTTAAGTTCAAGAAAAGCAGGAGTGCTCAAACAAATGACAACTTAAATAAACCTCCCTATTCACTGTGCTTGAATCTCCACGCAATTAGGAAATTGACTAAGCGTTACTGCTTTACAGAAACCGTACCACTGATGTGAATGGTTTGTGTAGGGATGAGACTGACAGCCACCTGGGGACGTGGGCACCTGACAAGTCTGCAGCAGTCATGGAAATGTTCTGCAGGTGAAGCGAAGCTGGGCCCAGCCCGGATGGAGGGAGCTAGCAGGAGCCATACCAATAAGGATTTTATTCATCTTGCTCTGGTCCTTCCCGGAGCTTGTCTGCAGTCCTTGATGAATCTGGTGTGCAGCCAAGTCAAACAGGTCCAGGTAATCTTCCACAGGGTAACGGTCCCTAAGTCCATCTCGCAGGCGGACGATGCCTAGGAGAACCGAGAAGCAGGAGTTACTGAAGACCAAGGTATCACCACTCAGGTAGTGACTTCCTGTGAATCAGTAGTTACCTCTCACCCCAAGAAGTTCCTCAAGTTCCCCCAAGGTGTCAGTACATTGAGATAGGCAGAGCAATAAATATCCTGAAGTCTTCAACATCCATCCCATGCCCAATTCCCTACAAACCCTCTTTCCCCTGCCTCCTCTGGAGATGGTCTTTAGAGGACACACAGTCCCTCTGCCTCCTATATATCCGATATACATTAAACTTTGTTTGTTTTACCATACCCCTATCTCTGAGTAATAGGCTTCCTTCCTGGCAGGGAGCATGGACCACTATTTTGGTGTGGTGCTGTAGAATCAGCACTGGGCTGCTAACCACAAGGTTGGCAGTTCAAACCCATCAGTGGCTTCCCAGAAGCCCTATATTGGTTCACTATGAGTTGGAACTAACTTGTCAACAAGTGGGCTGACAGCAGCCAATCAGGGGACAGCAGTCCAGGATTCTTTCTCCCTCATCAGAGTTCACCTGCATCTTGTTGTTGTTGTTGTTGTTATGTGCCGTGGAGTTGGTTCCAACTCATAAGCCCTGTACAGGGTTTCCGAGGCTATAAATCTTTATGGGAGCAGAAAGCCTCATCTTTCTCCTGCAGAACAGCTGGGAGTTTCGAACTGCTGACCCTGAAGTTAGCAGCCCGATTCATAACCACTATGCTACCAGAGCTCCGATCTTCTTGAAGTTCCATGAAAAAGCTGCCCACTTGTCCAGTCAGTAAGGGGACTGGACCATCTTCTGGCCAGAGGGTTGAGTTGAACTCACTAGTTATTTTGATATCTGCTAGGTAGAGCCAAAGTGTATGTTTTGCCTTAAAAAATGGGTAAAATTTACCCTCAAGCTTATTAAAAGGATAAACTGGAGGCTCAAAGATGGTCCAGGTTGCACGGCGGTGACCGGAAGGTTAAATTCAGAGGCACACCCTGCCCCCCTCCTCCATGCCCTCGGGAAATGGTTTTTCATTAAGGGAAAGGAAAAAACCTTCAAGGGGCGAGTCCTCTATGGCAGGAGAGGGTGTTCAAGAGCATCTGGCAAAGAGAGTCCTGGCCTGACAGCCGGGGAACCACAAAAGCACCATTACAATGCCCATCCCTCCAGGAGGGGTGCCAAGTGGATCAAACATCCATCATTTGGGGCCGGTCTACATTATCTTCTCCTCAGGAATTTTAAGACGTTCAAAGCCACCTGAGACCTTCTCCTGGGAAAATGCCCTCAGGCCTGCCTTTGGCCAGTGCTGACCATTTGTCATCTCAGTCTGCGTGACCAAATGTCTCCTGGCAGAAGGGAAAGGTCATGGAGACGGGGGTGGGGCAGAACTGGCCTGCAAGGAGGGAACCCAGGGACAGGGTACTAGGAGCAGGGTCTCCCAGAATGACCAACTTTTGGTTTGTACACCCACCCTGTGAAGTAGACATGGCAGAACAAAAAGCAGAAAAGCTTTCTAGGCCCAAGGTAAAGCCACCCGAATGCTCATGGTCTCCTGAATGAGGGAGGCTGAGGGAGGTAGGGAGCTGAAACAGCCATGAACGCCAGTTTTTCCCCCCATCCTCTCTCTTCCCAGGTGGAGGCAGACACCCTCAAACAAAAACACCTCTTGAAGCCCACCCACCTGACACTGGGCACTCCCTCCACTGGACTGGTATTATGTACCAGGGCACTCTGGGGTAAGAAGGGCAGCCAATTTCTGTGCTTTGCCCTGCACACAGCTGGCACTCAATAAACACTCACTGGTGCATGGGAACTGGGGTTCTAGCCCCTATTGGATCTCTCCCTACAGAACCTTTACTTTCACCAACTACTTGTGGGGCCTTTAAAACTTTGACATGGGACTAATTGTAACTGTCACAATTGTAAAGGTAGAAGTTTTGTAACAAAAATGGGGGAGTAGTTAATCTTACAGTCCAGAAACAGAGGGCCCTAGGACCATCAAGGAGAAGAGCACAAGCAGAATGAGAGACCTTATCCAGAGAAGCAGTGACACCAGAGATGGTGCAAGGAGAGAGGGAGCAGCTGAGGACTCTGGACTCATGGAAACAGAAAGCTGTGTGCTGGCGGCCAGGAAGCAAGCTTGCAAAATGTACCCCTTGGTTGTTTAAATTATTATACATTTCTGAGTATTTTTGTGGACATCCCCTGCCCCCACCCCAAAAAAAACCACGACAAAAAACAGAGGGAATGGAAGCAAATACTGTTGAATGATGATACACGGAGGAGATTGTAATCATTGCAATGAAACTATGGAGTAAAGCCAATGTTCTCCCATGTAAACGATCACTCAATTCACAATAAAAACTAAAAAAAAAAAAAAAATGTTACCACTGGGCCAACTGGGTAAGGGGTGTAAAGGTCACAGTACAATGGTCTCAAAATTAAAAGTTAAAACAAAAACCAAAGAACATCTTGACATGGAACCATGGAATCTCTTGGTCTCTGGGGTACTTTATCTGCCTGGCCCCTCCCAGAGCATCAGCCTGGCACACAGTGACCTCTCACCCCCAGGACCTTCCAAGAGCTGGAAGAATGGGGTGATGGGAAGCTCGGCATCCCTCACTCACCGAACCGCTTCCTGGTCCACCAGTGTGGCTCCTTGATGGCAGAGAACTTCACCTCGGGGTGCAGCCGGAGACGGTCATAGAGGTCGGTGGTGCCACACTTGGGCTGCCCGATGATGTAGAAGTGAGGCAGACAGCGCAGACGGAAGTGCTTGCCCTGGGCATGCGACAGGTGACCCCAGAAAGCCTTGCGCAGGGCATCGAAGGTGGAGCGGAACCTTCTCGAGTAGAGTACGTAGGAATTGGTCAGGTACGGGTCGGTGGTGTTCCTGCCAGAGAACTCCTCATACCAGCAGGGGCTTTTACTGTTTGGGAGAAACTTACTGGGGATTACTGAGAACATCTGTAACAAAAAAAGACAGCAAAGGGGAAGGAAATGAGCAACCACGTGCTAACCTCAATATGATTGCTGTTGTTGTTGTTAAGTGCCGTCGAGTCGGTTCCGACCCATAGCAACCCTGTACAGGGTTTCCGAGGCTGTAAATCTTTACGGGAGCAGAAAGCCTCATCTTTCTCCCGCGGAGCGGCTGGTAGTTTCGAACCGCTGACCTTAAGGTTCGCAGCCCGATTCGTAACCACTACGCCACCAGGGTTCATATATATATATGAGAAAGCCTCATCTTTCTCCCGCGGAGCGGCTGGTAGTTTCGAACCGCTGACCTTAAGGTTCGCAGCCCGATATTTAGTACCGTGTTCAAACCCATAATACCATTTGATTAAATCCTAGACAAAGCAATCATAAGAGCTTGATGGCTCCATATGATAAGCACTGGACTACAAACCACAAGATTCCCAGTTCAAGCCTGCCAGCTGTCCTGCAGGAAAAAGAGGAGACTTTCTGCTTCCTCGAAGCTTTAAAAAGCCTTGGAAACCCTATACAGGGTTGCTATGAGTCAGACTAGATGACACTTAACAACAGCAAATCAATAACAGTCAGTCACTCTTCCGTTTTCTCAAAATCAAAACAAATCTTGGAGAGAACAAAGATTAAAAAATGAGTCAAAATCTATTGGGCTATTGATTTGGATGAAGAATGTGTGAATGGTTGCATGACTTGAATACTATTGATGATGTTACTGAACTGGACCTGGAAAATTTGTTGAGATTGTGTGTGTTGTGTTAGGTCTGTTTTCCATCCCACAAGGAGTTAACCTTACACACACATCTAATTAAATGAAACAGCTGGAATCTTTTTACATGTTGGAGATTTAAATGGGCTATTAGAGACAAAATACTAATTAGGACAGAATAGAAATAAGAAATCAAATGGAACCCAATTTTACAACTATCACAACGATGATCCACAAAAGCACCGCTAACCACCACGACCATCTTTCAAGCAAACAGGCATGAATGCAGTTATGAGAAGGTAGTCCTTAAATATGTCTAGCTGTGCCCTGCAGCCATCGAGCCTGCTCCCTGGCCTGGTATAACATGAACACTCTCCCTGCACACTCTGATTTGTAAGACTGTTCAATTACCCTTGTTACACTTGAGAAATGTTTTGGTCCCCAGAGATGGTGATTAAAAAGGAAGCGTCCATTCTTTACAAGTAAATCAATACGGAGAGATGAACACGAGGCTACTACTCACGTGTAACTCCTGCTTCTTGAGGTCTTCCACATCTGGGAGCTGCCTGGTTGTGAACTCAATCCTGGCTGTGATGCTGCTGATGATTAGTCTAATGCTTGGGTAGTCCTTCACAGACGAGATGTTACTCATAGAGGACTGAAGGTGGTGCTCTTTCAGATCCCCGGGGCCTTCGCTGTCCAGCATGCCGGCGCTGCTGGGGAAGCCGCCATAATGGAAAGGCGATGGGATCAGGAGTTCTTGGTGGACCCCAGAAAGGATGTAGGATGCCATCACCAAGGTCATGATCAGCAGCGCGAACACCAGGCTACATCGTTTCCCTTTCTTGAAGCGTGAGAACCCGCCCCAGCTCTCATTCCCTTCTGTCTTCACTTCTAGAACAGCAAGCAAGTTCATCTGCTTACTGTCCACGCGGAACAGAATCTTGTTTTCTCCTTGGCACGCAGGGCACACCTGGCGGCTGGGGTAGGGGCCTCCTCGGCAGCCCACCCGCTGTGTGTGCGCCTCGTCGGGTAACAACTCTATGCAGCAATTAATACAGTGCTTCATGTTAGTGTCCTCTGACTGCTGGCTTAGCGGGCCATGGGCAAGCCCTCAGAGAAGTCCAGATGCCTACAAATGGCACTGGGAAACTTTATAGACGTCTTGTGATTACAGAAGATGGCCGTAAGGCACAAGCAACAGAAAGAAATGAAAACCTAGGTAGACACCAAAGCACTGGACAATGAGGAAATTCCTCCTTTAGTTCAGCTCTGGAAGACAACACAAAGATGGGATCCCCGATGATCATGTTCTAGAAAGGTCACTGGCATAAGCAAGGTCAGGAGCGATTGTGCCTGCTCTTCAGGTTTTTCCAATGGCACAAAAGAATGTGCCAGAAAGGTCACTGGAAGGCATGGAGGCACACAAAGGGCTGGGAGAGATCATTGTTCTCCCAAGGACCAGTAGGCTGATGTCCACCCATGAAGATGCCGTGCAGACTTTGACCTTCTTTTACATCCGGATGCTTTTGAAATGTTTACTCTTCATTGGGAGCAAAACGCTTCAAATGTCAGATGATCTGAACACAAACAAAGGAAATTTTATGACATCAGACGTCAACACAGCAATAACCCATGGACCACCTTCCACTTCCCCTCCCACCAAGTGGTCAGCCACACCTGCTCCTTACCACCAAGTCGTAGGAAAGCATATAAAGGGTAAAGTGAGAGATTCTGGGACCTTGGTGCTCAGCTTTGGGGTGCTAATTCAGATATGACCCAAACACCAGAAACCCACCCAAAGCCTCATAGTTTGCACAATCACACCCAACCCCTTTTAAACTCACAAACGAGGCACTGTAGAATGAGCACTCAACTGCAAGGTCAGCGGTTCAAGCCTACCAGTCACTCCTCGGAAACCCTATACAGGGTCACTATGAGTCGGAACCAACTCGACAGCACTTAACAACAACAACTTTGATCATCCATTTAGGAAGGAAGAGTTCCTGAAAATTGAGCAACAATAAATGATTCTCTCCTTCACTAGAGCGGATCATACAAAAATCCACTTGACTTTAAGTTATTAAGTAGTTAAGTCCAATGTGAAACATTCCTCTGAGTACCATCATGCTCCAGACCCCAAAATTACTTTTCATTTTCAACATCCTAGGGAAAACACGGCTCTTAAAAACCCATTAATCGACACTGACCACCTAAGACAGGCAGCGTCCCTTAAACAATCAATAAATAAGGAGGATTCAGATGCAGACTGTGCAGACCCGGTCAGGAGGCCAAGCCCCTGTGGGCCCAAGTGTTGTTGACCGTCCAAACCATAGGCTCTGAGGATCAGACTCTAGCTACCTAGTAGACATAACAAACTGTCCCTCATCTGATTATTCAGTAATGCTTGTTAGTAATCTCATACATGAGCCCTGGATATCCACAGACAAATGTATAAAAACCTTCCCTAAAAGCCGAGACTGTAAATTCCAAAAAGGCAAGTCCCCCCCATCCAAAAAAAAAAAAAGCTAAAGAGGATAGAGAGAAACACTGTAAACTGATGATATATGGAGGGGATAATAATCAATGTAATGAAACAAGCTATATGAATGGTTGAATGTGAAGCAGATGATGTGCCCTGTAAACTTTCACTCAATCCAAAATAAACACATTTAATTAAAAAAAAAAAAACCATTAATCGAATCCTGTGGTTAGAAAATGTATTGCTGCCCAAAAGATGCTTGTAGTCTAGTATAGACGCTGTAAAGAGAACATTGGACCAGCAAGGAGACCAACTTTAGTGTGATCCACGGTAGGTAGGCCATCATGAGACAGCTGTGTGATGTTTGACACTGTAACCTTTCTGAGCTGTGTCCTCATCAGCAAAACTAGAATGTAGGGGTACCTCCTTTGTACATTTGCAAGGCCTACATTAGTAAACGTGTAAAGAATTCACATAACCCTTGATCAAGGACTTCACACAGTTCCTGGAAATTTTCCATTATCATTTCATTCCATTTTTTCTATGAACTTTTTGAAGCCTTCTCATATGTATGACCACAAAAAGGGTATGTATCATTAACCATAATAACATCATCAACGACTACAATCATTTTTAACTATTAGTGAGTGCCAAGAATATTTGGAATAAAATCAAAGGTGGTTGATCCAACATCATATTACTTTTCTTCATTGCTTAAGAATTACCCAAGGGATGTAGACACACCCCACTCTCTACACACACACACACACACACACTTCAAACAACCCTTATCTTCCCAGAGAATGTGGTTTTCACTAAGTCTGCACCAATGCCTCCTCATGTTGACTAACAGACTGGACCCAAACCAAGCTCACTAGTAAACAGACTCATTTCCTTTGGAGAGAAATGTTCAAGTTTCTCACAATATGTTGGCCGAGAAGAGCGAAGTAGTATTTCCCATAATGTCTTCCATAACATCTGTTTGTTGTAGTTACGGTTTGGAGAAAAGCTGGGATACACCAACCCCCACGGGTTTCTTTACAGCAGAATTTTTTCAGGATAAAGAGCCCTGGTAGCACAGTGGTTAAGTACTCAGCTGCTAACTGAAAGGTTGTTGGTTCGAACCCACTAGTCGCTCTGCGGGAGAAAGTTGAAATAGTCTGTTTCTTTAGAGATTTACAGCCTCACTGTCCTACAAGATAGAGTCCTGGTGTGGCGCTGCAGGTTCATGTGCTGGCTGGACTGCAAGGTGGGTTTGAACTGCAAGTTGGCAGTTCAAGCTCACCTGCCACTCCTCGAAAGCCCAATACAGGGTCACTATGGGTAACATAGTGGTTATGAATCGGGCTGCTAACCTCAAGGTCAGCAGTTCGAAACTACCAGCTGTTCCACAGGAAAAGGTGAGGCTTTCTGCTCCTGAAAAGATTTACAGCCTCGGAAAGTCTGTACAGGGTCGCTGTGAGTCAGAACCGACTCCACGGCACATACCCACCATGGGTCAGAACCAACTTGACAGTACTTAACAACAACAATAGGGTTGATATCTTGTGAGAAAAATTTCTGCTCCAGCAAAGATTTAAACACCCCGTGTAAGGTTGCTCTCAACAGCACTTAACAACATAAGGTTCATGTGGATCGGAATTGATCAGTGGCAGCAGATTTGGTTGTTTGTGTGTGTGTTTGTTTTTTAAGAACTGAGCTATGAGTAAGTGAAAGAGTCTTAGAAGAGCGAAGGAATAGGGGAGTGTGGGAAGAAAGTTCTAGAAGGTCAGGCCAACAGCTCAGGCTTCATCCCCCCCACAGTGTCCCTCCCACTCTCATCAGCATCCCTTAGGGTAAGGGCAGTTGGAGGGACAAGTCAGGGACCTTCAGGTCAAACTGCTTCAAACTTGCTGGAACACCCTTGACCCATCACTTGGTATAAACAATTCTTCCAAAGCAAAGAAACAAAAGGGCAAGGCCCCCTACTTGGAATCTCTATCACCCAAGCCAAGAAAAGATTTTTTTACACGTCAAAGACAAGGGCAAACTGAGGTTAAATATGAGACTCCAACCAGGATCACTGTGGGGGGTGAGTTCACACCCTCAGATCTTTCTGACCTCATTAGATTTTTAAAAGAAAACATGAGACTTTGAAGCTACAAGACAAAAATGTACGGGATCAGAACCCAATGGGCAGGCAAAAAATTCCTAAACAAGGACAAAGATGTCTTATTTCAAGCAAAATCAGTAAACCTGGGCTAGCAGGGGGAGCTAAGAGTGTCAACAAGAGTGGCAAGGCTATAGGATCTTCCACGGGGTCGGATGTGGGAGCCAGACCCTCTAGCTAAAACCAGAGCAGAGAATTGGAGAGGTGATTTGAGATACTATGGAGAACCCTCCTCTAAGACTGAAACTCAAAGGGAACACATGAGCCAGCATGTAAGCTTGCTGGTGACCACATTGGTCTACTGGTGAATGGAAGAGAGGGAAAGGCAGCAATGAAGAACTGGGCTGAGTTCAACCATATTCTATAGACTCCCATTGACTTGGAGATGAGAGAGAGAAGAGGAAGGGCTGGTTTGTCCAAATTGTGGTGAGACCTGGGGACACCTGAGCCTATGGACAAGGACATAGCCACAGAGGGCTAGAGCTGAGAGTGAAGCATCCAACTGATAGGAAGTGAGGGGAGACTCACAAGGAACACCCAACCTTGCAGATAGTACCCATTTGACCTAGCCTTGATGACTTAATAATCAGAACTCGACTAGAGGAAGATTTTTATTTTATTTTTTTAATTTTTTGGATAAAGGAAATGAGGGTAAATTGCTACAATTTGATGAACTTACCTATACTCATGGAGGTTGTTGTTGTTGTTGTTAAGTGCCTTCGAGTATGGAGGTAGTAGCTCAAAATACCAACAGAGAGGGAAGAAGTCTCCACATCAAGTATCAATCCTATCCCCTCGGTACACAGGGTAGATAGAGACGGGCAACTTAGACACTGGCTACTTAAAATGACGGGGCAATAAAGGCATGAAGTGACTGGCTTACAAGGTTTCAAGGGGGAGTTTAGTTTAAGAGTGTGTGGAGGAAGAAAGAGTCCCCACTGAATAGTTTTCATCTTGTCTAGATGGGTCTGGCTAAAAGAGATGGGGATAAGATTCTTATGATTCAATAGTGAGTAATTGTTACCGTGACTAATTGCGACTGTCACAATTGTAAAGATAGAAGTTTTGTAATAAATGGGGGAGTAGTTAATCTTACAGTCCAGATACAGAGGACCCTAGGACCCTCAAGGGAGAAGAGCACAAACGGAATGCAAGACCTTATCCAGAAAAGCAGCAACACCAGAGATGGAGGCAGAGATGGGGACATGGAGAGAGGGAGCAGCTGAGGACTCTAGATTCATGGGAAGAGAGGGACTGAGAGCTGGCGGCCAGGAGGCAGACTTGCAGAATGTGCCCTTTGGTGGTGTAAATTATTATATATGCCTGAGTGTTTAAAAAAATAAAATAACTGAAGTGAATAGAGAGAAATAGTGTTAACTGATGGTACATGCAAAGGATTATAATCATTGTAATGAAACAAGGTGTATGATTTGTGGAATGTGAAATTGATGATCTGCCCTGTAAAAGAAAAAAAAAAGATGCTGTGGAGAACCACAGATACCAGTTTCTCGTCTTCTACAATTCATTCATACATTCATTCAACAAGGA